TCTAGACTTACAGATAGATTTCAGATAAGTAGGATTTCATTTACTGACTATAAAACAGTGACACCAGGGGATAAGAGAAAAGTGGAAACTGAGCAAACTGTCACAGAAAACAGCATGAACCTTTGTTTCACTAAGGTAGGGAAATACATTCTCACAGAACAAGTTACATACATAAACAAAAATAAGGATCTAGTGATTAATGAAAAATTTTCAGTTGTAAAAAGTCATTTTAAGAAAGGGAGAAGTTAGAAATAGTCCCTTTTCCCTGCTCTTTCTTGTTCAAGTATAATAATTTGTTTTCATTTTTCACACATTATCTTCCAATACCATCTTAGAAGGTGGAGGTAGAGGTCAAAGTTACCACAAGTCAACTAATTTCAGATTCAATTTCAGCGTAACTGTAGGCTCACTTGCAGGGTAAACTTTTACCCATATAAATTCAGGTGCAAATTCAATTTTATATACTTAAGCATTGCCAAAAGCACGTGCCTTAATTCATGAAAGATTTTTTCAGCTTAGTCAATTAAGGAACAGGTTGATTAACTGAAGCAAGCCTTCCTTATACCAAAATAAAGCTCTGCAGGACCCCTTGCATCATAAATCTGATCACACACTTTGAATGTTGATTCTTGTGGTACATGAGATTCATTTATGTGATCTCCACCCTCTGGTAGAAACTTTAAGCTAAAGATTGAAGAAAACTGACAGGTAAAGAAGGACAAAAACTTCAAGAATATCCCCATAGAGAAAGTAAACAATGACATGTCCTAAGAAGAGAATCAGACTCAAGTTTGTAAAGTTCAAGTAGGAAGTAACAAAACCTGTAAACATCTTCCAGCTAAGCATGGGATTTCTTCTAAAATGCTAAGATGTTAGAACAATGGCGCGTGAAACAGAATGTCTTGTTTTAAGTCATGTACAAGAAATCAGTTACAAACTTGGGTACAAGAAAAGTCTCCCAAACTTGGTGAAAATAGCAAGGTATGAGATAGAAACTGCATGGTAGAGTATATTTATGGGACTATGATAGCACAGATTAAAAGTCATATTTGACACAATGCTACCAAAATAAATCATTAGGAGTCAAAAACCACATGTTTAAATAGGCAAGGTATTATTCAGACAGCTGTAAACTGCCCAGCACAAATTGTGGCACTTACCTTAGGGGTTGTTAGGGAGACTTGAAAGCACAGGGCGTAGCAACAGCAGGAGATTACAGTTACCACCATAAACGAGGGCATTGACACACTACAGACAATATACACCTTTGGAAACTACGTATGACTGTCTATCAGAGCAGCTAGCCTGAGATATCACAGGAGGACCTGATTTAGTTTTAAAGATAAACACACTATACATGGGTCATCAGAGAACTACAGAAAGCCCGTTCTGTAATAATGACAGCAATGTACTCCCGTGCAACATCTTTCTGAAGAGATGATACGGAAAAAATTTCTTCTACAAATATTTCAGAAGATGAGCTACATGTAACAGTGAAGTTGTTTAAAGGACAGTTCACTGGGTAAAGTGCTGGCAGACTGCATGAAGATAGCACAACCTCAGAGCAAGTACATTCTAAGGAAGCCACTACTTCTAACTAAGCTCTTTCTCCCCTTATTTCCAAAAACAGAAAAACAAAAAAAAGATGAAGTGGCATTTATGTTCAAATGAAGAAATGAGAAGGGAGTATAAACTCTTATAAATTGAATGAAAAACCACAAAAAAGTAAGTGAAGTCACTGCAGGTATACAAATTACTAGGAAAAATATTTCTAGCCTATCAGAAACAAAGCCTCTCAGAGAGACGGTGGGAGCAATAACTTTTGAAGATATGAAAAGAGCAGTGAAGCAATAGTTAGAGAATTTATTGACAGTTACAGAAAAGTTACTCATCCTAGGCTTCAGTTTTCATTAGAGAGATCACTACACTCTTTACAAGTAGTACTCTGGAGGACTTTCTGATACTTAAAGTGTCAATAGAAGAGACTTGAGAATTAAAAAATATATATTTGAAGTAAATCCCCTAGTTTCTCTCAATGTCTAATTGTAGACTGCTTTATAATATAGCAATCTGTGATACATAGATGAGTTAGGAAGAAAAAGACTGGACAGACAGAAAACATGTCCAACACCACATTAGGCTTAGGGAGTTCCTAGAGGAGTACTGAAGCTGCTAGGAGAGTCAAGAAAGAGTCCACCACCAATCCATACCACCTCAAAATCATTTGGAAGCTACTTGATATAACAAAGACCCAAAAGCAGGTTAGGTTAGACACAGCTCCTTAGCCTATTTTGTGATCCTTCAACATATTGTATAGAAAGAGAGAGACACCAAGTACCTGATTGCACTGGCAGCCCTACCACAGGGTATCTTCTCCAGCTGCACTCTGGAAGCTGTCAGATGACAGAATTTTCCATACTAGCAGACATGAAAGTTGAAATACCTCTTTCAGGTACTTTGATATATAAGACAATTCAACTTTTAGTGTTGATCTTGCCTATTCGATCTGTCATTTGAACCCCAGAGACCATCAGACAATGCAAGAGTAAAAGATCACTAGGAAAAGCTAGAAAATAACATTTTCATATACTGTAAGAAAAATAAACAGGCCCAAAACCACCCACTCATCTTTTTTCCAAAACTCATCTACCAGTGAGCATAGCTAATTAGATATAAAAGTTCTGTATTACTGTGTGGGAGGTAAAGTGGGCTGAGGAGAGAAAAAAAAGACAACTGAATCTCCAAAAAAGGGAAGAAAAAAAGAATCTGAACCATTAAAAGGCAAGAACTGGATCAAAACCCTAGTACTCTTTTTTTTTTCTAAAATCATCTAAATAATCCTGGCTTTACTTACCACTGCTGTAGTGCTGTTTCTCACATAGTGCTGGCTCTATCAGGTACATCCCAGGAACAATAGAGCAGAGGGCTCAGATCTAAAATTTTACTCTCTCCCAAAAAGGAACATAGAAAATTGCAAGAAGGGAGCTACATTAAAGAAGAAAAAATGAACTGTCTTCTGACACTTTGTTGATAATATGTACAAAACACACATCTCAGGAGGTCAGGACACATTGTTTGCCAAATAAAATAAAATGCACATAATAAAAACCATTGTTAACCAAATCAGTTAGTGAAATACTGACCTAAGAGGAAAGAAAAGCATTAAAAATTAAACATGGTTAGGAATTCAACATGGATATCATGCACTGATGTGTGCCAAATTTTTTCTTTACTCATATATTAAATGATGGCAACATGCTCTGTTAAGCTTTTAAAGAATGCCTGCTTATGGTCACCCAGCTAAGTACTATGTGTAAGCACATTTTGAGCAGATGGATAGTGAATTAATAATGGAGCAACAAACATGCATAATTTTGTACAGTACACCTCAGAATGGAAAAATGCTATATCCCAAGGGCAGAGAGTTTAACAATTTACAATCGTCACAATTTACCCTTGGGGTACACATTAACCAAACAAATCAATATGAGCCTTCCTGGCCCGGAGGTGTGACTTACATCAAGCTGGTATGTATCATCAAACAAAGATTACAGAGCAAGTTAGAGTTGAGATCAAAGTAAAGGGATCTATTCAGCTGCATGGTTGTTACTTAGCTTTGACATTGTCTAATGATTGAGATTATGGTACTCCTTAAAGGATCTTTATAAAAATAAAGATTATTTTAAGTCTTCCTTTGGTGACAATTCTCTAATACAACAGAATTACCACCACGTTTGTCATATCTGGAGGCTATTGCATGAATCTTCAGGAAAGACAGGTAAGGCATCTAAACCCGTGTGGCATGCAGGAAAAAAAATACCACACAAATAAAATCATCCTTTTAATACACTAATATACTTTTAGAGAAATTAAAGTACTGTTCTTGACACTTTAAGGGCTCTTGATATTCCAGGAACACATTTTCATGTATGACAAACAAATTAGTTGATTACAAAATCACAGCCCTCCTGAAGTTAATGTCTTTTTGTTACTATTCAACAATAACATTGTGATCTTCCTTTAGAGCTTGATAAAACAGTTGTAGTCAGATTAAAGAAATAACTACCATTTTCACTATTCAAAATGTGGGTGTTAGTCAAGTCAAGCCTAATTTATGTGGGAGTGTGAACACAAACAATTTTTTCAAGACATAGGACCCAGATGAGATTTAAGGTTCCGACTCAGCTAACTACTCCGTTATTTCCACTTCAATCATGCAAACAGTCTAACTAATTTTTAAAAAGACCGATTGCATGCTGCTTATATTTGTCCAAAAAAAGTTGTTTCATACCTTTATATCTGTAACACAAAACCTGTCACTAAAGCAGACTGGTACAGAGGAAAGGTTAATTCTTGCAAGTTATTTCCCAATACATTGCTGTTTTTCAGTAAGCCTTCAAGACAATACACTATAGATATGACACAGGATCAGCAGGCAAGAGGAATATTCAAGTATTTCCATTTTGGTTATTGCCGAACTTGTCTTCAAATAATCATTTTCCAAGCATTACTTCACTATTGGAGTGTATCTCCAGCAAAGAGATTTAACAAAATATAATTTAAATTTTTTATTAAAAATTATTCCTTTGAAGGACATGGGAGTTCCTTGCTTGGCATTTTAGAATTTCCAACAAAATCATTAATTTATTCAACCTAATGCAAAGAATTACTTTAGAATAAATTCAATAATTGGAGCCTTCAAAAGAATGACCAGCTTGGAGAACAAGGTTTGCATAATTAAGGATTTCAGAGTCACCCCAGTAAATGGGAAGTAGCTAGGTT